AGTAAAATATTAGGTAAATATTAGACTCAAAGCATTAAAAGTATGATTGGAATATGTCTACAGGAAACAACGAATTGACCAACTGTTAAAGCCAATTGAATTAAGTTAAAATGCAACCATTTTAGAGCTAAGATTTTTTATCTGTTGCCAACAAGTTACCGTATATGGCCGTGTAAAGATTGAGACTGAACTCTCAAAGCTTTAGCACTCCCAAATTCTGTCCCATCAAACACAATTGATAATTTCTTTAAGAACTACTATTGATTTCCGAATTTCTGAAAGGGTGGACTTACTCGCGGCGTTGTACGCTATTTGGATTGTTCCCTACAGACCCACAGGCTGGCCACATGGAACCGGAGTGCCACAGGCGCATGTGTCAAAATATTGAATAATCAATGATTTAATTACCTAACCCACGCAATCTCTATCAAGTTCGTTAGAGCCCACGGTGCTATTGCCACACGCTGTGTCGGTTACCTATGCAGCCCACAGAACCAACGACACCTTTCAGGGTCATGGTCCTATACCCACAGGGTGGGTGGGTTACCTAAAGCAACCCGCACAATCTCCCACACGTCCCATATACCCACAGTCCTCTCCTTACAGGATGTGTGGGTCACGTACAGCCACCAGCACAGTCTCCAAGACGTCCAAATAGACATACAATCTTCTCCCCAGCGAAAATTTGGGATACACGCACAAACCTACAGGTGTCATACACAGGCCTGTAGGACTCAAACTTATTCTTTGTGGGTGCTCTGGGGGCATATGGATCAGGGCTGCCGGCAATCGATAAGTTGTTGACGATAAAAAGTTTGACTTGTCATGTCCCATTAAATGTGTTCGTTCGCAGTTTTTGCTTTATTCTTATTGCCACTTTCGTCACTGTTTTGTAGTAGGTGGGTTTACTCAGCTATGAACATAATATGAGATGAAGTGGTGCGTCTTGAGTCAGCCCGAAGTCCAGCACGAGATGCAGAGCTCCCGCTCTCTATGCGCGTCGTCGCCTTCAAACCCCGGTTATTGAACATCTTTTTCCTGATTGCCCAAAACGACCTGGTGGCTTGACCAATCTTCGCACTCGTGTAGTGTACACACGTTGTGGATCTACGTGAACACTGAGTGATTCATCATCAACATTGAGTGGTATATCGCCAACACTCAGTGGTTCATCGTCAACACTGAGTGGTTCATCATCCTGGTGGCCTTTGTGTAAGCTTCTACCTGGCAAATCATCGTACGACATCTCATCGTTTTTGTTTTCGCTTCGATAAATAACCAGAAACTTCGCGTTTCGCCGGTCAGTGCCATCCTTTGTGGATACCCAATATGAGCGCGGCAAATCGGCTTTCTTGAGTACTGTCCCCCCCCTTTATTTAGGTCCTTGTTCTAGAATTTATGTGATAACTGAAGCTAACTTCATAATGCCTGCTAACTTCATAATGCCTGTTGAAGCCAGACGCTTGCTTTTTTTTTTTTTTGCTTGGCTCTCGCTCTCTTTCAAAAGGGAGAGGTCAGGTGTTTTCGGGTTGAACAGATGTGCTAGGACCGGCAACTGGGTTCGAATATTTCAGCTGAACAACAGCTCTGCGGGACTGAATCCACAAGCTTATGGTGTAGCACGATATGCAAGAAGCGCTCTATAAGGGATAATTGACTTCTTCGTTTTTGCTACCTTGACGGCCGCTTCTGCTGCACCGTTACTTTGAGGACACTTTGGGCTTGACGTGACGTGTCGAAAGCCCCATTCTTTGCTAAATGACACGGCTGCCGATCAAAGCCATTGTCTGTAATGACCGTCTCAGGTATGCCGTGTCTAGCGAAAATCTACTTTGCTTTTAGAATGGTTGTTTCCGGTAATTGGTCTTTGAGGAGGGCTACTTCGAAGTATCTAGAATAATATTCAATGATAAGGAGACAGTTGTTGCCTTCCGCGTAGATGTCCCTGGCCAGCTTTTGCCAAGGGCGTTCTGGGAGCGGAGTTGGGATCAGTGGTTGGCTTGTGTGCTGCCTCTGGTCCAGACAGCTGGCACACCTTTCAACCATTTTTGTAACGTCTCTAGTGATGCCAGGCCACCAACCCGACTTTTGGGCTCTTCTTAAGCATTTGACAACGGCTTCGTGCCCATCGTGTAGAAACTGCAGTACTGAAGGTCTCATTGAGAGGTGTACAAGGTATCGCGAGTTTCTCATTATAATGCCGTCATACAGTGTAAGTTCGTCTTTGAACTGCCAGTATTGAAGGCAGTCCTCAGGTGTTCTTGATTTACTTGTGGGCCACCCTTCGGTTATGTACTTTCTCGAAATGCTCATAATCGGGTTATTGTCTTGAGCTGCCGACAATTGTTCCCAAGAGACATCTGAAGCCGGTACGTGATGAATGAGAGCATGCTCGAATTCTTTCGTCTCTTCTGCTGCTCACAGGCCGTCTTCCTTCTTGAGAGGTTGTCTCAATAGGATGTCTGCGACTCCGTGGTATTTCCCCGGAGCATGTTTCATTGTGAAGTCGTACCTCATCCTCCGGAGACACATTCGTTGAAGTCTGGGTGTAAGATTGTCCACAGGTTGTCTGGTAAACAGTGGTATGAGAGGCTTGTGGTCAGTCTCAATGTGAAAGGTTAGTCCTACAAGGTAGTCCTTCAGCTTTTCGCAGGCCCAGGTGATTGCAAACGCTTCCTTTTTGGATTTGAGAATACCCTCTTTCTGTTTCAGATAATGATTTTGAAACGTAGGCAACTGGTCGGAGAGTTTCACCTTTCTGATGCTGCATGAGCACTGCTCCTATACCCTAGCTGGAGGCGTCTGCTAAAAATATTGTCCCTTTTGTTGGAGAGTAGAGTGCCAAGACCGGTTGACATGTCAAGCTTTTTTTTACCCTCTCGAACGCTTGCTGCTGAGGAGTTCTCCAGACAAATTCGGCATTCTTGTGGAGCGGCTCTCGCAACGGTTGAAGTACATCTGCTAGGTTTTGTATAAATATTGCAATAAAGTTTATTATACCGAGGAACCTCCTTAGCTCTGTTGTATTCGTCGGAGGAGGCATGTTTAAGATACTTTATATTAGAGCGCAACTCTTAGGCGCCCGCTTTAAGCTTCAGCGGCGTAGCCGTCGGCGTCCCCATTGGCGTCGGCATCGGCGTCGCCGTCGGCGTAACCGCGCGGTGTATTATGGGTAAATTTGCCCGCCAAATCTAGCGGAAAAATTTTCTCGCTAAATCTAGCAGAAAAATTTCCCCGCTAAATCTAGTGGAAACATTTCCCCGCTAAATCTAGCGGAAAATTTCCCCGCTAAATCAAGCAGAAAAATTTCCCCTCTAAATCCAGCGGAAAAATTTCCCCGCTAAATCGAGCGGAGAAATCTCCCCGCTAAACCTAGGGGAAAAATTTCCCCGCTAGATTTAGCGGAAACATTTCCCCGCTAAATCTAGGGGAAAATTTTCCCGATAAATCTAGCGGATAAATTTCTCCACTAAATCTAGTGGAAAAAATTCCCCGCTAACTTTGGCGGAAAAATTTCCCTGCTAAATCTAGCGGAAACATTTCTCTGGGAGTCACGTGACCTCGGGGGGGGGGCGTTCAGGTGACCCCTCCCCCACGTCACGTGACCCTCACTAACCTTTCGTCCTCCTCCTCAAGAGCAGAGCTCTAATTCGGCGTTACAAGGAGTTGTGAACGGCTTTCATTTTTTTCATTATCTTTGCTTACACCCCTGTGATTAATGACGTGTCCATGGAACTGAATTGGCTCCTGAGCAAATACTCATTTCTGTACGTTTAAGGTGATCCGATTTTTTTGCAATCTTGTGAGGACTGTTCGGAGACGAATGTTGTATTCCCTCCGTGTGTCGGCCCATATCAACATGTCATTGATAAGGCACGTGACTCCTTCCAATTCTTCAAGAATTTGGTGCATCGTTCGCTGAAGGATCTCCGGCGCGCAGGAGATTCCAAATGGTAATCGATTAAATTTGTACCGGCCAAACGGTGTGATAAAAGTAGCAAGCAGCGTTGACTCTGGGTGCAACTTGATTTGGTTGAAGCCTGAATAGGCATCGAGATGAGAAAATATTTTCGCCTGCCCAAGAGTCGCTAGAAAAGGTTCCACGCTCGGTATCGGGTGGTATTCCATCAGAACACTTTTATTAAGTGCTGTGTAATCAACGCAGAGGCGAACATGACCAATCTCCTTTGAAACTACAACAGCAGGTGAGCACCAGTTTGTTGTTTCTAGACCTTCGGAAATAACACCTTCGTTCTACATCTTTTTGAGCTGTTCTTCATCTGCTTTCTAGAGTTGAAGAGGTATGCGTCTCGGTGACGATAAGGCATCTGGATAAGCATCAGGTTTTAGCTTTATTTCACACACGTATGCAGCTTCCCCTAGACCCTCAAAAAGCAAGGGGTGCTCCTTGATTGGATCAAAATCTTATGAAGTCGAGAGCAGATTTACTCGTTGGATGATGTATAGGGCTTCTATGAGGTCCAAGCCGATCAGTAGCTCATTGACATTTCTTGTCACATAGAATGCGCCCGTTATATGAGAGTTCTTGAACGTGACCGTTGCCTGCAGCACGCCGACAACATGGAGGCGTACTTTTGTTGGTCCAAGTAGAACTTTATCCGCATGTCGAAGACTGCCCTGGTCTTGCAGTCTGGAGAGTAGGTGCTCCGACACGACAGAGACGTCAGGACCAGTGTCCAAACGGAAGCTCACATCTTCACTCCAAATACGAAGCAAGACTCGCCAGGGTGTGCATTTGCCCGGGGACGTCACAATTCCTGTGAAGTAGAAGTCTTGGCCAAGATGCCTGGAACTTGTATGCTCTGAGATTTCATGCAGGAAGGTCGACTTCGATTTGCAAACCCTTGCGAAGTGACCCGGCTTTCCACATTTGTGGCATTTGCTCTTCGATGCTAGGCAGTCTTTTCGTAAATGAACGTCATGGTTGCCGCACCAATAGCAAGCTTATGAATCCTTTGCTATCATGCTGTGCTTTCTACAAGTGCGGTGTGCCTCTTGAATATCTTGACGTGATCGACTTGAACCGGATGAGGTTGCGTGGCATCCTCTTGTCTGAGGGCCTGCTGTTGTTTTCCGACTATTTCAGTTTGCTTCGCGAGAAGAACTGCTCTATTTAGCGTGAATGCACTCTTCAGTTGTAGCTTCATGGTCAGTCGTTTATCGCGAACACCAGCGACAAAACGATCGCGAATAAGCTCATCGTTGATTTATCCGTGCTCACACTTCTTGTTCAGTGTCTGAAGCGCTGTGATAAAATCTGCGACTGCTTCACCATCTTTTTGGATACGAGAATTGAAGATAGCTCGCTAGTAGACAATGTTCTATTTGTCAATGAATTGTGTCTCGAAAGTTTGGGTGACGGATAAGTAGTCCTCAGCTTCAGAGGTCGCAATGTTAGGCGTCGCATAAATTTCCTCCGCTTTAGGTCCGATCAGGTAAATGAGATTGTTTACCTGGTCATCCACAGGATTGACGTGCAATCCAGATGCCGATCGAAAACGCTCCCAGCGGCGCTTCCATGCTATCCATTGTTCCGGATGAAAATTGAAAAGGTCAGGAGCGCTGAGCTGATATGGCATCGACGGGGTGACTTGCACCGATGAGATGGCTTGTCCAGTTTGCGTCATGAGCAGGCCTGGTTCTGAACGACGTAGTAAGGAAGACCTGGTTGTTCTTTGCGAACTGGGCCGCTCACTTCTGGAGTCGAAGATAGCTGACGAGTCCCAAAACTTCTGACACCATATTTTGTAGTAGGTGGGTTTACTCAGCCATGTACATGAAATGAGATGAAGCGATGCGTCTTGAGTCAGCCCGAAGTCCAGCACGAGATGCAGAGCTCCCACTCTCTATGCGCTTCGTCGTCTTCAAGCCCCGGCTATCCAACAGTCACCCTTGCGTAACTATTTAATAATTATCTCAAATTAGGTGAGGTGTTTATTGCATTGGGTTTATTGTTCACTCTACGCATGGCTGAATTGGCTGCGCGTGTGGAATCCACACGGACAGTTTGGTGCTATCTTATTTGTACCCTTGAAAATAAATGCTGACGATACTCACCTATCGATTAAAATATATTGTCCGATTAAGCCAAAATAATCTCATAAAGCTCATTGATCAATTGAGCAAAATATATGTTCATGACTGGAGGCTTGCAAGTGCCTAATCTTGTTATAGTTGGAAATTTGTTTTCTATATTATTTTAAGACGGGCTATATTCATCGTCAAGAAGCTCCCGCAATTGTTCGCAACCTTACCAAGAAACAGGGGAATATTTCATTTCGAATTGCGTTCTTTCTTTCCACTCCTTATTTATTTATATTTATTTTCTCGAATTAGTTGCAATGAAAGAAAATTATAAGTTTCTGCAGAACTCTTGATTACAGCCTTGTTTCGCCGCGCAGTTCAAGGACAGTTTGTCTCTTGTGGCCGAGGGGTGGCATCAGCAATCTCCGCACTTGTAAGATTTGGATATTGAGTGAAGTCGGTGTATTCGGTGGATAGACACAGACCATCTTTTTTACCTTCTTCATGATAGCATGTGCAGTTTCCATTGCATGTTGTCCAACTTCCATCATCTCGCTGTGTGCACTGAAAATAAAATAATATCAACAAACGAAATAATATATTCATAAACTCTCGTACAAAGCGTTCCGAATGAATACATTTTTTTTGTATACCAGAACTTGAGATTTTATATTAAACATAATCCTTAGTTACATATCAAAAACGTGAAAAATAGGCAAAATATTTCTTCACTTGATTAATGTGTCGCGACACCAATCTCAACATCTCATTTATAATAGCAGTGAAAAACTGCTGCAATTTAATTTCCCAAAAAGTAGCTAGATGCTGCCATTATGTTACTAAAAGATAAAGTTGAACTCGTGTCATCTATTTCAATAATATTCTGAAATTTGAGATAATTCGACGGGTCAAAAACGTGCGAAACTGGAGAGGACTTATTTTGTCGAAGGAATGACCATACATATCTAGTTGAACATTTAGTAATACCAATATTATCTACGTATAAATTAACACAAATTTGTGCACATAATGAGTAATGCTACACAAATGGATCGTCCTGACGTATTGCCAACATTAGTGATGACAAAATATAAATAATTTCAGAAATAATTTAACTAATCAGCAGCTGAGTATAAGATAAAAATCAAAGAAATACAGTAAACTCCACAATACCGACAATGGTCAGTGCGCCAGTGCGCCAATTCTGATATTGATATATAAATATCACTGTGTATTTGGAAATATAAATGCATTTAACAAACTAAATATATTCCTATGCACCTGCCTCCGTTATCTCTCTCGAGGTTTTGTTAGTGATGTATTTCAGGTTAAACAAATAAAAAAAAATATTACATCGCATGCGTACTAAGATAAATAAACAACTGGCCACGCATAAAATTAAAGAGAGACACTTGAGAACAGTTTCGATAAAGCGCGGCTTGAGTAATTCTGAAGACGATCCGGCCTGCACTTCTCCCTACTCTCGCACGACTAACAGTTCGACTCCATCTGTATTTCCGTTATGGACACCATGCATATGCCTTCTGAACTGGTCGAACACGGCGGAAGCTTCTTCGTCTCGGACTGTGCGAAATATGTATTTGGTTCTGTCTTCGGTCTTTACGCACGATTTAGCCACCTTGAAAAAAGACGCCAGTGCATATCAAACAGTAGCTGACATGAACCAGAATATTTTACGTATGTAGTCTTGAATACAATTGCCTTGTTGCCCTGATACATTCCTTAATATATATAATGTCTGCGGTTTGAAGACTTGTAAACATGAGAAGCGCACAAAGTGAACGAATTGAAAGCCAAAAATGTAAGTACGCCTATATTTTAAATTTGCATAGAAAAATGAAAACAGTTCACAAATCTCTGTAACGCGAAATTATAGCTCAGCTCTAAAAAAGGAGCTGGGAAGGATGCGGAGGGGAGGGTATGGCCCTCCTCCGTACCTTCCCCACCTTCTCTCCTCCTCGCCTCCTCCTTCCCCTCTTTCCTCGTCCTCCCATCCTCCTCCTTTGTTCCTCCTACTCCTCGTTCCCTCCTTTTCTCCTCCTCCTGTCCTCCTCCCTTCCTTCCCTCCTCCTTCCACCCTCATCCCTCTTCCTCCTCTCCTCCTTTCTCCTTACTCCTATCTCCCCGTTCTCAATCGTATCCTCCTCCTCCTCCGCCCCCTCCCCTCCTCCTCCGCACCCTTTCGTCCTCATCCATACCCTACCCTTGTCCAACACTTCCCCACTAAATTTAACTGAAAGTTTTACGCCACGTGACCTCAACAACAGTTCAGTTTGCCTGCTAAATTTAGCGGGAAAAATGATATGACGTGACATCGTGTCACATCAACTGTGATCAAATTCAGTTTCTCCGCTAGATATATCGGGAAAAGTGATGTCATGTAACCTCAACATTAATTCCATTCCTTGCTAAATTCAGCAGGGAAGCTGAATAGGTATTGAGGTCATGGAACGTCAGTTTTAGCGCTAAATCTGTGTTCCATTAAGGGACATCATAGACCTACACATCAATTAGGTCTCTTCGCTCAATTTAGCCGGAAATTGAGTTGGTTAGTAGGTCTGGGCGAGATCGTGGTCACGGTGAACGAATAAAACCGCGCCGAACGTTAAACGCGCGCGGTTCCGCCGACGCCGACAGCGACGGCGACGCCGACGCCGTTATACACGGAAACAAGCGCTCAGGAGCTGAGCACTAATATAGATTTAAAAAAGAACACCTACGAAGCTTAAAACTTGTGTTCGATTAATTCACGTATATGTTAGTTTGACGCAGAAAATTGAATAGTAATGAGGATGCACAAATATTAACATAAAATAATATAGTTATTTCAGCGAATGTTTGCCTTATTTATATGCAAATAGTAGAGCCTATATAGTCGCACGCGGTAATTATTATAACAAGTATTTTGAAGAGAAACATATTTCTCAACACAAGCGAAACCTGTATTTCACACTCAAGTAAATATTTCGTTATTCATTTTTCCCTGTTTTCTTGAAAAGAAAACAGTAATTATTTCTATATTTTTTTTTATTTTGTAATATATTCTTGGGTTACTTTTAAAGCATGCATTAAATCGTTTCCTATTAACGGATCGCCAACTAAATCAAGGTGAACACTTGGTCTCCTCCTTATTCGCATATTCGTTTCATCTCTTACGCAATTTAATATGGAGTTTAAGTTATCTTGATTCATGCTTGAAAAGAGTGTCAGTCGTAACAATAAAGGGTTAGGTGTTGCAGGCTTTTTTTTGTGAAATATAACGATTCCGATGTACTAAGCTACGTATGATATAGACATGCTGCACTTTGGATGAGTTTTGACCAGTAAACTAGGATTCTAAACGGGAACTTTTTAAGGATGCATTTGTGTAGTAATAAAGCTCAATGTTTAAAATTTTAGTTTTCAAGAAACATATCTTTTAGACTTACGTGGACGTTTTGCGCAGGAAATCGTAGTGAATATTCTAAAAAAAGTTTACGCAGGTCACTTATACAATATATTCTTTGTAGATGCACGAATATATGCACTAGGTAAAATTAATTGCTCCAGCATCGTTGCACAATGAGGATGTCACGAACACGTAATGCAACTCGTCTTTTTCAGGTGCTTTTTTTACTAATTGTTGCTTAATATATGGTACTGCATTCTCCATTCGTACCTCGAGAACAGGGTCACATACATTTATCTAGCAAGTGTACAATTGACTTACATTCATGCCGCAATATTTGACACTAAAGAGTTCGTCTTCCTCACTCAATGCATCTGTTCCTGTCATAAATATTTGGATGCTGAAAAAAACAATAAAAGTAGTTATTTTAGAAACAACTGGTAAACAACTCGTGGACCCACCGCTTTAGCGAACTATATTATATGTTGGCAGAAATTTTAGAAGCGATTTTGAATCTAGTGATCTAATATTCGACAATTATGAGTACTCTAAACGACCTTTTTTTCGCGGTCTAACTATTTAGCGATTTATGTCAAAGATTCGCGGGTTCTAATTTTCGCGATGCGGTGTGACCTCTCTATAGATTTCAATGTGTTTACAATTTATCGGAATCGTTCGCCGGACCTATTTTTCGAGAATTGTAGGCGATTCGCCGAATTCGCGAAAATTAAGTCGTTTACAGTTTTTGCAAGATTATTCTACATATATAGACAATAGTGAAATATTATAAAACACAATCAGTTGCTTTAATGTCGTAAAAAATGTTCATTACCCTAAATCAGCATACAGTTAAATTTTAAACCTCAAAGAACGGCTCAGTTTCTGGCCCATTCATGGTTTATGGTAGTATCTAGCTTCAAGGTATCACGTCATGCATTCGTGCCCATAGATCTTCACATTATCATGCTTGCACCATACCCATCCAGAAATAGTTTCATTGTTTATGTACACCGCGTGATTATAAAGGAGGCATGCATTTATAACAAGCCTACTTTTTGTTTAGTTTTTTTAATAGCACTTGTTAATGTGGTACACCGAGAACTCAGGGCATGCCTAATTGAACAAGCTTTAGTGCACGTATAATTATAATTCAAGTTAAACGTAGATCATTCCATGTCATAAACATAACCAGAATGCCTAACCACAAGCGCAGATTCAACTTTAAAGAAATGGTTGGCGGAATTCGTCCTGCAAAATATGATACTTATTTACATTGTTGTCCTTTACATTTAATGGCTTATGTTTTTAAGACAATGACATAAAAGTTCTTCCCGGCGAACTGCTTAAAAAATCTTGTGTCATTTAAAATACTAACTTTCCCAAACACCGTTTAGAAAACATTTTCCGTGAGTTGTATATCTCACTATCAGCAGAGAACATCGAATTTAGATTGTTGTATTTTATTAATATTCATTACAGGAGGGTGCAACTATACGTAGGATAAGACTTTTAAATTGGGGCTACAATTTAACAGGCGTAAATGCTCCCTCATCAAACAGCATAAAAGGCACGGTGCTGAAATTGCAGGAAAAAAACACGATAGAGAATATTGTAGAAACACGGGTTATTATCTGCTGAACACACAATGAAGGAATTTTCGCAATAAAATAAATACATTCGTTTGCACCTATTTTAATATAAATCGATGCCTACCAGCTAACTCCATTTTGATCCATATTTTTTCCGCATTACCCTATGCTATTTAGTGGAAGAAAGGATATTCTGGTCACAGACAATGTTTAAGTTTATAATTTCTAAAACAAAATATCTGTGTATCTTAAAGAGCCAAACTTAATCCGGTTGCCAGACATTCATCAGCATAGGTTGTTCTGATGCCTTTTTCTATTCTAGAGAATACGCGAAGCGGAAGTCACGGCAACTTATAATAATACACCAGTTAGTAAATAATCTATTAAACTTCGAATCCAAAATAACAAACGATATTTGTGATTTTCGATGAGCTAAGTGTCTGAGTTCAGCCTATTTGCAACTTTAAACCAGAAGCATCTGTTAATGGCGCAATAGAAGTATTCTTACTTACCCGAGGGCAATAAACACTGCGACTTGAAGAAAGACAAATGTTTTGACTTCCATTTCCAGACATTCGAGAGATCTCTAAAGGGTCGGGCTAAAAACGCTGCTTTTATACTTTCAAACTTGACATTTTTTAGTTGTTTCCTTTTGAAACAAACTCAGTTTGACGTCATAAGTATAACGAAAGCTTGCTCAGAAAAGCAGATGTTTAAAAAACAGCTTGCCACTTGACACATCCTAAAATGCACCTGTTTTTCTCCGTGAGCAATCATAGGTGCGGCGCAATAGAGAAAAGATTTTTAAAGCCTTATAAAAATAACAAGAAAACAAAACAGAATATTCGGCTTCGTTCCATCTGTGTTTGCATGGCTTAGATAAAATAGGTGTATAAAATAGCTGTGTAATTATCATCGTATTCCCAACACAGTTATATCCGTAGATTAGCAAGATAAGTTATTGTAACTATCGTTAACTACTTGCATACTCCTTTTAGTCTTCGAGGAAAGTAAAACAAAATTTCGGTTTGAGTAATCAATTAGCATTAAAATAATACAAAAAGATTTCATCGACATCCAGCTGTCCTGTCTTGTTCAAAACCAAGACTTCTTATCAGAGTTCCACTGACGTGTAGACGCCGATGTTAACGGAATGCTCTCAGATTTCACATTGTTTTCATCACTGATGTAGGTGTCTACCAACTATCGTCTACTTCCTACAAATCGTAAAGGCTCAAGGATTTGTTCTCAGATATGCCTTTGAAGAAGTAGTTTCTGTATCCCTTTGTCGGCTAAAGCAGACTTCCGCACCAACGCCATGTTGTTTTATCGTGAACGCTCACAAGCGACTGCATTCACAAGCGACTGCAAACCTATTGCAAGCGACTGCAATAGGTTTGGTGACAAAAACTACAATCATAAATCAGCTGGCGTTGCTATAAATGTTAAGAAAAATTGACTTCATCTTATTTTATTTAGAAACATGGGACACCATTGTCGATAATTATTATATATATTGGTAAATGGGTTTCGAAAGATTAAGCGTCCTTCCACATTATAGGTAATCAGAATAGCTTTTGTTACTAAGAACCCACCAAGAGTTACATGGTGATTATTTCGGGGGAACACAAAAATAGAAACAATGATTCGCAATTTTATGGTAGACATTAATTTGTTACTTCTTAAGCGTAGTAAGCAACGCTGAATAGTTTTGCTTTAACCTTATAGGAGACCTTTCAATACACGTTTTAATATTATCTCTTTAAAGCGAAAAATTACGAACTTCAAAAGGACTGTTGATCAGTTAGTGATATATTTAAAAAAAAAATATTCGCTGATATTGAATGAATAATTTCTTCTTCTCTCAGTCTAATGTTGAGGCTGATTTTGTATTTTGTATTATTTTTATCCGGGGTATCATCGCTGTAAAAAACATTACGAATGCAGTGAATGTAGTTTTTATTTTTCAGTTGTATATTTTGTTCACACTCGAATACAGTGTTCAGAAACAAGTGAAATGACAAATTTACATATGGAGGTCACCAATGCAGCGGCATTCTCGTGAGTGCGTGTTTAAGCTCGAGACGACGTTGCAATCCTGCAAGAAGCGCGTGCAGCGAAATGTTTTGACGATCCAAAAAGGTGGGCAGCGGTCCTCGGCAACTTACCATTTGCGACGGAGACCTTTTTACTGAATTTTAGGTGCCGGCTTAAAGTATTGGATGAGTAGTCACAAAATGTGATGTTTGTATCCTTTGCCTACATGTAGTTTGATCGAAATACGAAGAGTTAGCTCTAAAACGTTACACGTCGTTCTGGCTGTTTAATACGTTTTATGTCGCCCTTAGGTATCGTGAGAATCATAAGTAAAAAGAGGGACCACACATTTCAGCGATCTTTGGTTCCTGCTCACGAGACATTCGTGCTTTAAACATTTTTTTTCTCTTGCGTTTTTGAGTAAATGTTATAATCAATGAGGACACTTTTGAAGGGTTGATTTCCTCAGTCGGCAGTACTCTAATGCAGTATGATGTCTGCTTGTGGAAATGGCATGTAAACTTCTTTAATATATTATAAGGCATTTTTCTGATTCAGACGTAAATAAAGACTAGGCTCATTTGTATTGAAAAAGCACATTAAACGACTCCACAGTGACCTACATATACAAAATAAAAGTTTGAGCCACGTCGCAATTTTGGGAGCAATGTAAAGTGAAAAACAAATATTTATTAGTCGTTTATAAACGTCTTTGAATGTGAATAGTAACTTTTTAATACGTATGCGAACAGACATTAGTATCCATAAGAAATATAAAAAAAAGCTGAACGATAAATGCCATTTAAAGAGCGTCTTCTAGCTTTGAAATACTTTTAGTTCAGTGTACCAAAATTGCGCTCCAGCAAAATTTGCTTGGAAACTGTGAATACGTAAATATTCTTAGAAGAAAAAAATATGAAAGGAAAACGAGAATACCCCGGAAAAAGGTCACGTGAGAATCAGTGCGGAACAGCCAGCAACCGGCAGCCACGGCTGGGTGCTTGAAACATACCCCAAAGCAGTATTTGCCTGCACGTCTTTGGCGACAACTTTTACCGGCTTCACAACACTCGGGCGAGATACATTTTTGGAAGGAAGTCAACGGCGTGCCAGAACGTCGATCTCCTCAAAACCCAAAGTCAATCAGGGACGCCCGCTCTCCGACACTCCACCACGAACCAGCTCCCATACCCACATTCCAACCACGGAACCCCACAGCCGTAGTATGCTCTACGACGCTGAAACTGATATGAGTCTTAGAACTATCCAGAGTTTGCATATACGCAGACTTTCTTTTAATTTATTTTTAAAATTTAGTTTCTTATTTTTTACAATTCAAATTGTCAACTTCTTGAGAAATCGTCTACGCGTTTTCTGAAAAGCTTACATTAGTGCTACTAACCTTCTCATTACAGTGGCGTCCGCGACACGACAGAATGTATGGAATTTCGGCAAATCATTAATTTAAAAATTTGATTGGTTATGAAAATAAAACCGAGTGAAGGAGAAATTCCTGTTTGCCTCAAGAGTGGGCATCGGTGAACGGCTACGATGCGGAACCTGAACATTTTCGTTCTTATGGTCCAGCTCGCAGGAAAGGCCACCACTTGAAAGCTGGCTTCAGCATCAAACCTTTGCCGTCTCCATGAGCCCACCGAGCCAACCGACGTGATCAACATCGAGCGACTCTCCGTTTTAGCAGCAACATCGTCAACGTCATCCGCAATGGTATCAGCAAGTGAATTCGCCAAAAAGCTTGGAGCGTCATCGCTGTCGGTCAGTGGGCATGGGCGCAAGGCTACGATGCGGAACGTGAACTTTTTCGTTATTCTGCTGCAGTTCGCGGAGGGCCACTGGTCTCAAGCTGGCACTAGCATCAAACCTTTGCCGTCCCCAAGGAACCAACCGAGCCAACCTACGTCATTATTGTCGAGTGACTACCCGTTCTAACAGCAGCATCCTCAGCGTCATCGGCATTGGCATTATTACATGGATTTGTTACAAAGCTCGGAACATTATCGCTGTAGGCCAATGGGCATGTGTCAGGCTACGATGCCGAATGTGAACTTTCTTGTTCTTCCGCTACCGGTTAGTAAACGTGACATTGACCCTTGCTTTAGATCAGACTGCATTTGCTGAGTCGTGCTTCTATGCAAAGGGGCCTGTCTTGGGTCGTTCAGAGTGTTGCTTTTGATGCTGTGCGGTGATGTTGAGGTAAACCCAGGTTTAGGAACGAATAACAGGTTATACCGTTTAATGAAATGTCTAATTTATCACAAAACCTTAATGCACGTTCGCTAAAATTCGAGAAGGGGGAAGCCACTGCGATTGCATCTCCAAACAGTCTTAAAGCAAATAATCAATCAAATAAAAATTATGTCATTACCTTCTTCCTTCTTTTTTCTTTAAATGCACTGTTAATCTATTTCGAGATTGTTTTGTTACTGGGGTGGATCAAACTTATTTTCACGCAAGCTGCACTTTCTGCAATAACTTCGAACAAAAATCTTAGAAGTTAGTAGTATTTACAACATCAGGTAGCAAACTATTCAAATCAATAATAGTTCGAGAAATTAAGTATTTAAATGCGTCATCTTTATAACTATGTGGTTTTATTGTTTTGCTGAGGAAATGCCTAGGATACCTGGGCCAGCAACATTTAATATCTAATGTTTTATATTCCAAGCTCGTCATTAACGATAAGGTAGATACATTTTAGACGATTCCTTCTCCTTCTCTCCTGTGAAGTTTACAGGACCGCTTCAGCACAAGGGTTTGTGGAAACACATAAGAGGAACGGATATTGAACACAAAACGCATTGCTAATCTCTGAATTCTCTCGAGTTCTGAAATAAAACATGGTGTGTTGTGATCCCAGATGCCACCCGCATATTTTAACATTGACCTAAACAGAATTTTATATAATATTAGCTTTTGTCTCACGGGAGCAATGCTTCATATATCTGCGAAGAAATCCCAACTTACTCATTGCTCGACTAGATATGTTACTAACATGTGTGTTCCACCTTATATTAGATGTTATCGTCGAACCCAAATATATATACTGAGCCACTGAGTTACCTGTTCTTTCTGGAGTGCCTCAGGACTCGGTGCTCGGTCCGCCGCTGTTTTTGGTTTATATAAACGACCTGCGAGTAGATAAGCCCTTCATGCAGTGTCGTTTTTTTCCGCTGATGACTGTGTATTATTTCCCCAGATATCTAGCGTGTCGGATCAAAAATGTTTAGATGAAAGCGTTAAAATTATTTTTTCATGTTGTCAGAAGTGACAAATGAATTTGAATGTCAAGAAGTGTGTGCAAATGTCCATAACAATGAAAAAGATTACCCATTTCTTTTTCTATACCATTGACTCAAACGCTTTAGAAGTTGCCAATGAGTATAAGTACCTAGGTGTTACAAACACGTCAAACTTAAGTTGGACTTATCACATTGGGCAGGTTATTGCAAAAGCGTCCAGTAAATTGTGGTCGTTACGAAGGACTATGGCCCACTGTACTTCTGAGAC